TGAGGCTGTGCCCAGGAAATGACAGGGCGCACAAGGTCCCAGTGACCTCCACTGGCCTCATCTGGGATCATCTGACACCAGCATAATTAAGGATGGTAATGAGCTATGAGCCATTGAGAGACTAGGAGTCCAGGAGTCAGCGTTGACGACAAATAGATAAATAACTTCATCACAGAGGGAAAGGTGCCTGCTTAAGTAAAGTGCCTAATTCTCCAGTCAGTGTGGAGGCACTGGAGCTGGAAAGTCAGCATTTTCCAGCCTTCTTCAGAGAGATGGGACCAGGTGGGACTCCTCAGTGGTCGCTGCATGGGGGTTCTAAGGAGGACCATGTTTGCAAGTCACTGACTACAGTGGAGAGGTCAGCCCTCATCTTGGTCAGGTGACCAAGTGCCCATCCCAGTGAGGGGTGTGAGCATCATGTGCCTGCAGGTGGGACAGGTGCACGTACAACAGGCATGCACTCTTGAGTTAATCAGGAGGAGACACTGAAAGAGAAGGCTGTGGAGATGTCCCTTATTAAAGGGGACAGGACTCCCACTCTGTGGGATGGACCTTAGACTGGATCCTGTCCCATAAAACATAGATGGACTTCCCATACTTAGGAAATAACTCAGGGTATAGGGCCAAGATGGATACAGCTTACTCTTAGATGGCTCAGAAACAATATGTTGTATATTACAAACATATTACACAGAGAGAGAGAGAGAGTTCACATAGACACACAGCTGCTACTCAATGCCTGTGTTGGGTGGCTTTGTACTTGTCCTATTCTAGCAGTTTGTAAGTTTGCAGTTATTTCCAAATAAAATGTTTTTTAAGATACGATGGCCAGTAAGCACTTGAAAAGACATTCAATGTCATAGTCATTTGGGAAATGTAGTGAAAACCACGATGAGATGCCCTTGCACACCTGTTAGAGCGGCTGCTAGAAAGGCGGACAGTACCCAACATTGTGGCATGGGAGTCTCCTGTGCCTCTGGTGGAGTACACGGGGGGGTGGCCAGTTTGGGCAGCAGCTGGCCTCATGTGACCCAGCACTCACACTGGTAGGTATTTGCCAAGGAGAAATGAACACATACAGATCTTATGCAGCTTTGTATCTAATTGTCAAGCCCTGGAAACACCCACATGTCCAGGTGGTCCAGCCACATCTGGAGCACAGCATGGCCAAGTGTGAGAGAGCCCCCTGCTCAGAAGAGGAAGCAGACACACCATGCTGCTCATTGTGCAGTTCTGTATGTGGGATATTCTGGACACAAACTGGACAGCATTGCGGGCTGAGGGCACTGCCTCGAGGGGGAAAGGGTTTCTGGGGTGTGGGCTGAGTGCAGTGGTGGCTCATGGAGGCAGAACCTCAAAATGATAAGTTGTACTATATGCAGACTATATCTCCACAGGCCTGGCTCATCAAAAGTAGCAGCATGTTAAAGTCAAAATCAAAACCAAATGTTAAACCTTCAGACTATTTTATCAAAGGTAGGGACCCTTGACCTCCATTCCAGGAACATTTTACCCGTGTCCTCTTGGCACTGCACTTCACTCTGGGTGTCTGGAGATGGCCTTGAAAGATGTGTGCTCTGTACCATTCAGTGGTTTTGAAGGTGATGTGACCGAAGGCATATCTGAGGCCTCCCAGAAGTATGAGTCCAAGGATCATAGTTACATGTGGGGAATGATGGGGAATGACAGAGTAACAGTTACAAATTAAACCAGTTTGTAGAAGTTGAGAACATTCCAAGCATTAAAGAACTTGTCAGCCAGAAGGCTTATGAGGCATGGTGTTTTAAAAAAAATCTAGAGTTTGGTAAGTAGAAAGGGGCAGGGACCTGCTTGTGGGGTTATAGGCCCAGAGTGGAGAGATGGATTTCTCCCATGGAGCATGTGAGGAGGGATGCGGGCCCAGTCAAGGACTTGTCAGAGTGCCCTTGTCTAGTGTAGTTGTTATTCTTACTCTTTTTACTAGTATGCTCATCCTTAGAAAATAGAGTAGTAGATATTTGAAGGGTACTAAGTAAATATTTACTAAAATTTTGCAAATGAGACATTGGTCTTCCAGGACCTTTACAAAGACCTTTCTAGATGACACTTCGGGTCCTGTGTCTTGCCTCAGCACTGAAGGCAGCCACATGGTTACTGCAAAGAGCAGTGAAAACTTGACTGGAGCAGGTCAGGGAGGCAGAGGGGCAGGCGTGTGTGCAAGTTGGCAGGATGGAAGACCAGTGGTGCCAGCCACAATGTGAGGATGGCTGTAACCAGAAAACAAGAAGCCAGGTGTCTGTGAGGATGTGGAGAAATCAGAACCTTTGTGTGTTACTGACAGGAATGTGACGTGGTGCAGCCACTGTGGAAAACAGTCTGGTGGTTCCTCAGAAAGCTAAACATAGAATTACTGTATGACCCAACAGTTCCACTCCTGGGGGATGGAGTAGGGCGAAATGGGGATTGACTGCTAATAAGTATAGGGCTTCTTTTGGGGGTGATGAAAATGTTCTGGAACTAGATGGTGATGGTTGCATGCCATTGTGAATAGTACTAAATGCCATTGAATTTGTTCACTTTTGAATGGTAAATGTTATGTTATGTGAATTTCATCTCAATTGAAAAATATTTTTTAAAACAAAATGGGCTCCTGTCTTCTACTAAGAGACGTCAGTGCTGCACACGGGTGATGTCTGTGGGTGAGCATGCGTCTTCTAGAACTTCACTGTCCCGTACAGCAGCCACTTCCCAGGTGTGGTTGCTGCAGGAGCACTCGGCATGTGGCTCATGGGACTGAGGAAGGGATGTTTTTATTTTAATTAATTTAAATGTGAAAACCAGGGCTGGGCAGTTAGCTAATTGGTTAGAGTGTGGTGCTGGTAACACCAAGGTTAAGGGTTTAGATCCCTATACTGGCCAGCCACCAAAAAAAAAAAAAAGAGTAAAGACCTACCTGATTTAGTTAGAAAGTTACAGTTATGTAAGTCTCTCAGAAGTCCTAGAATAGGGAAAACAGTTTCCCACTTGGAAGCTTTTTCATCACATCAGCTTGGATAAGACAGGTGGAGTTCTTAGAGTTGGGGTCCCTGAGGGCCGAGGCAGGTCCTCCCAACCGCGTGCAAATTGTGAAGTCAGCCACAGGCCAGCTGAGCAGAGTATCTGGAAATGGACAGTTCATCCTAAGTGTAAATTGGCACTGGCACAGCAGTAGTCATTTACTGGGTAGAGCTGGCATCCATGGGGGCGAGACTCTCACCCTCTGTTTTTCACTCCCCAGTCTGCCCTGGGAGAGTCCAGCATCTCGTTATGATTGCAGGGTTTGTCTTTCTTTTCCCAGTTCTGAAGAATCTTCTCCACTGTGTGCCCTCCTGCACCTTTTAGTAGAGAGTTCTCAGGACCGACCCCAGGGCTCTGCAGGTGTTCTGTGGTGTTGGTGGGTTTGGGCAGCAGGGCCGTAGATGGGGGAGGTGCCACGTTAGAGCACTGTTGTTTCAAGCCTGAGAATGCTAGTGATTCTCCAGGGCTCCCTCAGGGGGCGACCGGTATCCACAGACTCGCTGTGGTCTCTCACTTGTCTCCATTACCCTGAGTGTGGCTTGGCAGGTCTCACCCACCTGGTTAGGAGTCTGCTCCTGGTGGCTGTGCCTCTATGGTGACAGGGGCTCTTGCTTGCTGTCTCTTTTCTGCCTCTTCCCCTTCTGTGAGTAACTTAGTGCTTTCATCCCCTCAGAGAGAGAACAGCGCGAGGACAAAGTGGGCAGACTCATTCTGTTCCTTCTTGGCCACCCGGTGAGAATTTCCCAATGAGCTCAGCCATTGACCATGGGGAGTGTAGCCAGTGTCCTCACTCCCTGTGTATCCCCATGACCACTGACCTCAGGGATGGTGTGGCCTGGGCCTTCCCTGTGACAGGCCGAGGAGCCATGTATACTTGGGCACCAACTTCATGCAGTGTCCCTCTGGTTCCGCTTTGCTCTTAAACTGCAGTTCCACTTGGCTTTCAGTTTTTGAGGTAATGAAATGAGTTCCGCAGACATCTGGGTAGGTGCTGCTTCCCTGACCAGGGGTGAGTCTGCCATGCCCCTAGAGGAGCTGAGCAGGCTGGGAACAGGTTTGGGGTTGGCTCCTGATGGAACCTCCTCCTCCTTGAGCCATTGGAAGTTCCAGGACTGGGGCTGGAGGACCCCTCAGGCAACAAGCCTGGCCCCAGGCAAGGAGTAGTGACAGGGCACTTGGGGTGCACAGTTGGGGGCTGAGGGGTACCCAGGAGATTCTGTCATGTATCAGGCTGAGCCTTTGTTCTTGCAGGTTCCAGCTTCCACGGAGATGACAGGAAACTCAGTGTTGCTCATGGAAGCCAGAAAGATCATTGAAGAGGAAGGGGTTGATAAGAGCTGAGCACAGACAGGGCCCAGCAAGGCAGGAAGCACTTACAGAAAGGCTTTCCATGGCCAGGATTGGGCCAGTTCCTGGCAGGCAGAGGGCATCTCAGGGGTCTTAGAAAATCTCCGCTTAGGGGCCGGCCCATGGCTCACTCAGGAGAGTGTGATGCTCATAACACCAAGGCCCCGGGTTCGGATCCCATATAGGGATGGCCGGTTAGCTCACTGGCTGAGCGTGGTGCTGACAACACCAAGCCAAGGGTTAAGATCCCCTTACTAGTCATCTTCTTAAAAAAAAAAAAAGAAAAAGAAAAAAAAAGAAACCCTCCTCTTGGTGAGAGTGGGTGGGGTGAGCAGATGGTGTGGGCACAGTTTGTGTCTGAGGATCAGGACCTGATGAAGAAGTACAAAGGTGCCCACCAAAATGTGGGTCCCTGAATGAGTTTGCAGAGGTAGCAAACACATTCTCAGGCTCAGAGGGTCCTGGCCAGGGTCCCAGGACCCATATGGCCACTTCTCTTTGAGCAGTTGGTCCTGGGCTCAGCCTAGGACTCCCATCCCTCTTCAGGCTCAAGCTGGCAGGCCCATGGCCATGTGTCTCCAGTCCCTGATGCAGGTCTCTGCCCTGCTTGTCCCCAGGTGAACCTGAGCAAGGTGGGTGAGTATTGGTGGAATGCCATTCTGGAGGGAGAGGAGCCCATCGACATTGACAAGATCAACAAGGAGCGCTCCATGGCCACTGTGGACGAAGAGGAGCAGGCGGTCCTGGACAGGCTCACCTTTGACTACCACCAGAAGCTGCAGGGCAAGCCACAGAGCCACGAGCTGGTATGAACACAACAGTCCTCTTGCAGGGGCCAGCCCTTAGGGCCCTTGTATGGGGGAAAAGGTTGACTAGTGGCAGAGGGGTTGGTGATGCTGGTGGGGAGGAAGAGGATGTGGGCATGCTGCCCTGCTGTGTCCCGCCCCAGGGAGCCCAGCGTGGGCCCATCTCACCTGCTCATGTCAACTGATTACCACCTGAGGACAGGTGCACATTGGCATTTTCACCGTGTTCTCACACGTAGGCCAAGGGCTCAGGTAGCAGAGCCTCAAAGAGTGTCACGAAATGTGCCAGCTCTTAGGTTTGTGGTCATCCACATGAGTCATCCTTGGAGCTCCTGCGGGACCCTCAAAGATGAGAGGAGGGAGCCAGGCTGAGGGCCAATGTAGGCTCTGCCCGGGGAGCTTTGCAAGTGTGTTTCCGCAAGTCAGAGGCCTGTGTGGGAGGCTTTGTGAGGTCAGTGGCAGGCCAGGGTGCAGGAGGAGGAAGGCTTATGTCTGACCAGCGTAGCACCTAGTGCGGCTGCCCCTGGCAAGGAAAGTGATTCATTAGATATGTACGTCTTTCTTCCTATTTTAATAATCCCAAGAGTAGCTATTCAGGGAAGAAAGGGTTGCTTTCCTCAGATTATTTTTAACTTCCAGTGTCCCATATACACAGCATTGTGGGTGTGGACTGCAGCCTGACAGTGGCACGTGGACCAAGTGCAGCCTCAAGTCTGTAGGCTAGGGTCAGTGCTGGGCACTGCCATAGACACAGAAACACACCCTGCCCCCCACTGAGAAAGCTCTTTAGAGCTACGCGTTTTGCCATTTATCTCTTGGAGGAGCCTCACTTTGTGGTTTAGTGGAGTTATCCTGGTCCTTGCCTCCAGTGTGGTACATGCACAATCGGTGGTTCCAGAAGCTCTGCCGCCGCATGTTGTCCACTCCTGCCCATCTTCACACACGTGCCAATCCTGCTCCTGTGAGGGTCCAGGAGCCTGTGGACAGGAGTGCTGGCATCCTCACCTCACCCGGCCCCCTGCACTAGGGGCACGTAGTGAGCACTTACTGCATACAGGTAGGGTGGGGTTGACTGGGCCATGGCACCCCTGAAAAGAGTCTTTCTTTCATGGTAGAGAGGTTGAGTTTTCGAGGTCACAGAATGTGTTCAGGATCCCACAGTAGCTCAAGCAGCAGAGGTGGGTTTGATCTCTGATCTGATTCCAGACCTTTCTGTCCTCCCAGCCCATGTCTAGAATGTTTCTCTTGGTTCAGCCACTTTTCCACCCTGGGCACAGTGATGTTCACATCCGTACAAAGGTTGTAGTGGCATCTTGGGTGGTGACTAAGCTCGCAGTGCTCACTTCAATTCGTTTAGATAGCCAGTCCTGCTTGGTTGCACTTTACTCCAGTTATGCTGCATTTGCCTGTGGCCATCAGGTGAAAGGCCAATCTTTAAACATTTACCTTATAGATGTGGCCTCTAATGGTAGCTGTTGGGGACGAGGACATGAGGGACCTGCCTACCGCTGTGTTCAGGTTCAGCTCCCTCCACAGAAGGGCTGAGATGTATTCACAAGTTGGCCTCTGGGCGATCTGTTTTGACTGGAGAACATGAACTCAGGGGCTCATTGTCCTGTTACTGGGGCCATTCCTTCCTGATAGAAGGAAGTCTCACCAACTGTCACTCAGGCCACAGGATGGAGGGACGAAGAGCAGGTGGCTCCTTGCATCCTTCCCAGACACAAACACTGGGTCTGTGTTATAGAGAAATGCTAAAAATTAATCTCTATTGTGTTTTGCATTATATTCCTACATTTACCAAAGCCACGATGGTGAGGTCTTCTGTAGACTTTAGCTGTGAGATGTGGGAGAAGCTAGAATGTTCTCTGGCTATTTTCATCTCTAAGTCCTCAAGTTTCCTGTGATTGTGACTCTTGCAGAACGACAAGTCAAAAACAAAACAAAACTGCAGTTAACATCTGCATGTTGTGGGAGTTGCCAGTAGTGCCAGGACACACACAGGACATTGGGGGCTCCAGCAAGCCCACCCTCCCCTTTTTCCACTTTCCCTCCCTTGTATCCTTCTCCATCCTGACCTTCTCTGGCTCGCTATCCTCACCCTTCGTGTTCTGTGCTGATGCCCCATGGCATTGACTTGTCTCACCCTCTTTCAGAGTCTGCTGCTGGGACCTGAGTGCCATGCTGGCCTCAGCACGTCAGAGAGGAGGGCTGACGGATCTCCCTTTATGGTGCCAACATTCCAGCCATTTTAATCCCATCTT